ACAAGATCATAGTAGCCAATGACCAAATGGCCTTACTAGGTCTTAGGAAGCTCAGGAGTTTTGATTATTTTTTTCTTCTATAGAGTTTTTTAATATGATTTGGCAATGCTGATATTTACCCTCTTTATATTAAGTGTGAATTTCAAGGATACTTTAAAAAAAACATGGCACTAACAACTTGTTAAAAGTATAAAGATTTTACAACCATACGTAAGCTAATGGCTGATAAGGGCTTCCAGACTTTGCCTTCAATGAGATCGCTGAACAGGAGGTCAGCTGTCTTGTCAGAAATTGACACTTTCCAGGACCAGAAATATTGTGTATATGTTATCCACCTTATAATTAGACAATATATATCATTTAGAACCTTCACCTTTTTACATGTTGTTTTCTTTGTAGAGCTGATTGGCCTAATGCAAAGATGATCCCACCATATACACCAGTATTCTCAGATGGATGGATTCTTCCAGACATAAATACAGTAAATGAACAGCCACAGGTATACAGATGTGTCAAAAACCTTAGCTTTTGATTTTTTTAATGAATGTTAATAACGTGGCTACTGAACATTACTTGTATACATCCACATTTGAATAATGTTCACTTTCAATATAACATGATTGCACATTAGTTTACAGATCAAATAAGCAGAGGAAAGGATCAAAGCACTGATCATTTGATCATTTACTGCAGTCACTGTCAAGCTAGGATTACAGCAGAAAGAGAAAAAAAGATTTGATTGAAATAAAGTGAACATTTACCTATTGGCCATGTGATTAAAAATGTATATAAATGTTCTACACCAAGTCCTCTTCAAAGCTACATATTACTCATACCCTCTCTGTTGGCAGCGGGTCAGTGTTACATAGTTCAAAGCTGGGGGAGGCATTTTTTTAAAGAGCCCCTCTCCTCTTGAAACATTAATCTGCTGCTGAAGGGCTTGTGGGCTGGAATCAGTATGAATTAAAAGAGTGGTAGAGAAGGCAATTGCTCCTGGGTCACTTCAATCAATTAGGGGCCCTGGCAGTGGCAACTGCCTGAGTATCCCCATTAGCAGACCACATGACCAGCACACCACTTTCCTCTCACAACATTGGCTATTGCTCTGCCAGGGACAGCTGAATCTGTGACAGTAGAAGAGATTGGTGAGTGTGGCTGCACTGAAAAGTAGATCATCACACCATTCTCCTCTACATATGTTGCTTCAGTGTGAGGAAGCAACATTATGTAAAGCAGCAGCTAAATTGGTGTCTGGAGAAGAAAGTGGTGCAAACAGACTGGCTGGGTCAGGGGATGGAGGTCTATGCATTCTCCATTTGTCCTCTTGTCCATCTCCAGCACTCCCCCATACTCCTCCTCTTCAGCCTGCTGTTTCCTTCCCCTTATACTGCTTCGCTCATTCGTCTCTTCCATCTTCAGTACCACAAAGTACAGCACCTCTTCTACACTGCCTACTGCACTCACCTTGTACTGCTCCTCTTGCCCACCTCCCTTACAAAAAAAACCTACAGTTTTTTAGAAGTAATACTACAGTTGTTGTTGCATGTAAAAAAAATGCAGTTTTTTGGGATAGGAAAAAAACTGCAATATTGCAGTGCGACTGCAGTCCAGCTGAAGTATTACTGCAGTAAAAAGTATTACTGCATCTAAAATACTAGTAAAATACAACTGTGATAAAACTGCAGTACAGGTGAAGTATTTCTAAAATACAATTGCAATATTACTGTAATACAGCTGAAGTATTACCACAGAACATCTAAAATATTGGTATCAAAGTTATTTACTAGACATGTGCACCAGCAAAAAATTTGTTTAGTTTTTATTCGGATTTTCCGTTATTTCGTTTTTCTGGATATGGGTCCGAAAGTCAATATATTTTGGGATTCGGATTTGGACGAAATTCGTTAGCCGTAGTCTGTAGGAATTTTCATCCGGGACGGATTTTGATTGCAGCAAAGTGACATTAGACAAAAGAAAAAAAAATGACTTTTTTTTTTACAGTCTGCAGAAGAGAAAGAAAAGTGTGAGGTAGGAATGTAAGGAGGGACCCCCCAAGTTTAAAAAAAAAGAAGCAAGTGGGGTTCCCCCCAAAAGCCATACCAGGTCCTTTAGGTCTGGTGGGGATTATAAGGGGGAACCCCACCCCACAAAAATGGGAAAAAACATGAAGTCCCCCCTAAAATTCCTACCAGACCCTTGATCCTTGACCGGCAGGGCAGAAAAGGTGGGGGGCGATTGAGCGCCCCCCCCCTTTCCCTGTGCCTTACCAGGCCACATGCCCTCGGCAAAGGCCTCTTCCCCACAACCCTGACCCAGTGGTTGTGGGGGTCTGGGGGGCTTATTTGCATCAGGGTACCCCTTTAATTAAGGGGGCACCCAGATGCAGCTGCCTCCCCTTGTGAATGAGTAAGGGGTACTTTTACCTCTACTCAATCACTAAACGATTAAAAGTCAATGTAAATAAAGAAACCACACTTTTAGAAAAAAGTTTTTTGAAAAAAAAAACAGAGTACATTTTTGACTATTCCTTTATTTTAAAAAAATTGATCCAACAATGTAATCCAGCGTCAATCACGATGACTCACCAAAATAAAAAAGTCGCGCCGCACGATGACCCATCTAAACCCGACGAAGACTAGCTGCAAAATGACATCTCTGGGCAGAATGTAAACAGATGGGCAGAGCGAGCCGTGAAGTTATGGGGCTCATTCTGCCCATTTGACTTTCTCAGCTGTCATAACACAATAGCATTCGGGAACTCCCGAACGCCATTCGGGTCTGTGAGCCGAGGTGTCATAATACTATTCATATGACTCCTCAGCTCATAGATCCGAACGTCATTGGGGAGCTCACCTAAAGGGCCTGGTATGGCTTTTGGGGGTACCCCAAGCACTTTTTTTTTACTTTTGGGGTCCCTCTTAACATACCTACCAGACCTATAGGGTCTGGTATAAATTGGGGAGGAACCTGCCACTTTTTTTTCTTTTCTGTCTAATTTCACTTTGCTGCAATGAAAATCCGTGCCGGACAAAAATTCCTGCAGACTACCACAAACGAATTTCGTCCGAAATTTTCGTTACCGGAAATTCGGATTCGTTTTCATTCGTCATTTCTGTCATTCGGAGATTCGGATATATCCGAATCTCCGAATAACAAAAATTTGTCTGAATAATTAAATCTTTCCGAAACTAAATGTCTATTATTTACAAAAGGGCAAAGAGTTTGGAGAAGGCAAGTGAGCAATCTAGGACAATATATCGGATTTTTTTTTCCAAATCAGCTATTTTGCCGCAGATTGTTCACTTCTCCTTCCTTCTCTAAAAGCTTCACCCTTTAGTTAATTACCCTGTTAATGTTGCATAGCAGCGGTCCCTGGATTTTACTTGCTGTAGAGTAGTACTGTAACCACAACACTGGCTACATGTTGCACAATACAGAATAACTGCAGTACAATGTAGTACGCGTGAAGAAGGCACAAAATGCAGTAACGTATCAATGAACTGAAGCTATACTGTATCTATTAGGGGTGCACCCAAATTTCGTCCGCCGAAACATATCTTCTGAAAATGCCACTTTTGGCAAAATGCCGAAAGTGCCATCTTTCGGACGAAATTGCGGTGCATCCATAGTTTCTTGCCTCCTCACTGGGCGTTGCTTTGTGTCCCCTCTGCATATTGGTGCATCTCTAGTATCTATACTTCATTATGTTGCAAACCTACAGCTGTACTTCATAAGAATCCACTTATAGAAGTTCTGGTAGCCCTCTTAGTATGTACTCCAAGGATCCCAAAATAAGATCAACCAAAAATAAAAAAAGAGTACAGACCATAATGCTCTTTGTAATAATTAAAATAAAGCTTTTAAAAAAACTACTCACATAAAAACACAGGATATCCAACTTTTTCACAAAGTAATATGGTAATGCAGGCAGGAACACTACCGGATCAGCCACAACAAATACGCCAAGCTCCAGTCTCACCTCTCCCACACTATGTCACAAGCACCACCCCATGCGGGTTACGACGAAATGACTTAAACAGGGGTAATGAATTATAGATGTATATCTTAAATGTATAGATATCATAGACGATAGATGTCATAGAAGATATAAAAAAGTTATTAATGATTAACTGAAAAATAAATTTGTCTTGGTTCTGAAGTGGCTAAATAACTAGTAAGCCTATACACTGCTGCAAATAACATCCCTCTTTTCTGCAAAATATGAATAGTAATGATCCAGGGGTATCTGAATGTATTTTTCATTAATCCATAGGTTCAAAAAAATCTGCAGACTCCACCTACTCACCAGTAAGTGTTTAAATATAAAAAGTCTTTAATTATTGCTCATTGGTCAAGAAGGGCCCCACCTGTATGTTTAAATGATATTTTCCATTAATGTGCGTTGATACTTCTGAAATTCCTTTTTCTGAAATATTCCTTATATAACATCTGTTGATGAACCTCTCTGCTAATATCCCTGCCTGTTCATAATAATCTTCTAATGTGCCACAATTTCCCCTTTAACTTAAAAATTGTCCTTAGGGAAATTATTAAACCACTTAGGGTGATGGCAAATGGACTATGTATTTTTGTCCCTCTCCTTTTTTTTTTGTTTAAATTTTTTTACTTCTCTGCAAAAATGTTGAAATCTAAAAAAAATAATTATTTCTCATCTACTGAGGGACACAGGAAATCTTAGGGCCCTTACAGAGCGTCATCCGCACCATTACAAAAACAGATGACAAAATACAGACAGAATCAGTTTACATCCCATTACTGTAGGCTAGCCCAGGGTATAACCCCTCCTACTACCCGCATGCTTCTGTTTTTTGCAAGTGTGCTAGTAGGATGGGCGACTTTTCTTCAGCTGTGCTGTTTTAACAATAATGTTTATGTAATTTGCACACATCCGTATATTTGCCCCAAAATATAATCTACAAAGTGATATCACATTAGTGAAACTTTAAGATAACACAGGGGTCTATTCACGAAGCTGCCGAGGGCAGCCGAGTGAATGACCGATCTGAAGTGAAGTGAGCCGAACGCTGTTCGGCTATTCACTTCAGGCTGGTACGGCTAATTTCAGTCGTACATCGGCTGAAATCAGCCGTACATCGGCTTGCTTCGTGTGGCTTCGGGTCGGCCGAACATGCTCAGCATGTTCGGCCGACCCGAAGTGCAGAAGGAGTTCGACTCAGCCGATCCAACATCTGGATCGGCTGAGCCGAA